GAAAAGAAAATGGAAAATGAAATGGAAACCCTAGGCCCCTTTAAAGGGGTATATAGGGAGAATACCCCAATCATGGAGAATCAAATGGAAAAGAAAATGGAAAATGAAATGGAAACCCTAGGCCCCTTTAAAGGGGTATATAGGGAGAATACCTCAATAATGGAGAATCAAATGGAAAAGAAAATGGAAAAATTAAATGGAAACTGGTGTTATATAGGGCTTGTATTGGGGATATGGTATTTTATATGGTTGTTTTCTTAAACAGGTGATTGTTTTAGGTATCAAGGGGATACATGGAGAACATGATCAGCGGGTTCAGCCGTCAGACGTACTTCAGTAGTTTTTTTTGAGAATTTCCCTGCAAAATCAAGACATGATGCTCTAGAGATCTGCACCATGCTGATGAGGAAAAGGTAGCGGGTCACGCGCTAACAAGCTGAATTGAGGCCAAACTGACAGAGACCCCATGGTTGCCTATTTAGCCCTTTGCAATCCCCGTCCAGCCCTGGACTTTTTTCAGGGCACCGCTGCTTTGAGAACTGCCTAAGTAACTTCAACAACTTGTTGTTTTCATCCCTGTCGCCCGAGACTGCTCCATCGAGGCTCTGACGACTCTCCAATTGATGGTGAGCGCCACTTGTTTGGAAATTCAGCAGTGTCTCTTTGAGCGGATCACAAAACAGGCATGATTCGTAATTCAAAGGCTGATCCAGCAGGCATGTATTTTTCAATCCAGATCTTGCCTGCGATTTTTCTTATTTGTACAATTCCGAATTGATCTGGAATGTCAGCTTCCCACAGAAAGAGACAAACTATGGAGAAGTACCCCACAGTTTCGGAAGCAAAAAACACTGGCAATGCCTAGTTCCACCCCGAGATTCTCGTAGGAAATCTTCATAGAGTCCCCAAGCTGCCCCAAAAGAGACCTACGCTGAGGACTTAGATCATGGGGAGCTACAGTGGTGAAGGTGGAAGAGTCATAACCTAGCTTCTTTACCCCCCCAATAATGGAGAATCAAATGGAAAAGAAAATGGAAAATGAAATGGAAACAGGGATTATAGGGTAGTTAATAGGGATTATTTGCAAGTGGGCATGTTTGTCCCCGCAAGGCATCCTCTTTCAGGGGGAGGTTCCACTTGCACCCTTCTTCAAGGCTGTCTCCCCTCTAGCCCTAAACCCTTTAAACCCTAAACCCAATGACAGTATGGCAAAAATCCAATGCCCAAACCCTGCCCCTAGAGCCTAAAATCCCAACATCAGCTATAGTCTAAAGTCTAAACTCCTTTAAGGGAAATCAAAATGGGAGTACTATAGGGGTTATTAAGGGAAATCCTAGTAATTTAGACTATAGCTCACATGGCCTAATTGGAGAGTCATTGGACTTAGTAACTACTTATAGCTCGGCTTATAAACCTACATATAGCCCTGTAAAATTGGATTTGTGTAGGTTCCCCCAATTATAAGTAGGGTTATAAACCCAGTTATAAGTACCTGGACCCCAAAAGTATGTAAAATTATGGCCTTTATGGCTGGTTCTATGGGTCTAGGGCTATTATTTTACATACTTTTGGGGTTCAGGTAGTTACTACGTCCAATGAACCTCCAAGTATAACCCTAACCCCTAAACCCTAAACCCTAAACCCTAAACCCTAAACCCTAAACCTAAACAATGCGTAGAGGCGTGGATCTCCTTCGTTGGCCCGAGTTTGCGAGTGCCAGGTGGAGCAACACTACCATAGCCAGGGCCCCAGGAATATGGGGGGGGGATTCCCAAAGTTAGGTAGATATAGGTGGTATTTTGGGGGTTAGGGGTTATAAAGGGGTAGTGGAAAAGAAAATGGAAGCTACTATTT